TTAAAATGTTAAAATCAAATCTGATATTGTTTTACCTTTTATTTTGTGTGTGGAAGGTGTGCGGAAGAGGGGGTAGTCTTATACGGCGAGTATATAACAAACTCTGTATTTTGAGTGGAAATGTTAGGGGGTCGTCTTATACGCCCAGTCGTCTTATACGCCGGCAAATACGGTAGTTGCTTCTTTGTTCCTTTCATTTTGGAGGCTGAGGAGGGATGGGGCTCCTTAAGTCTCTGTTTGAGTCCGGGGTCTAGGGGGGCTCTCCTGTGCTTGTCCTCTAACTGGCCCCTTGGTCCCAAGCCCATCATGATCCCAGTGTCCAGAGGTCCCCTGGGGGCCTGTCAGCAGAAAAGCTGAGGCTTATTTCTTCCCAGAACCTTTTATTTTTTCCCCTTCTCTGTTGATCCTGGTCTATGTTAGGTGGATGAAAAAGCATAAAGAAGTTTGGCTCTCATAGCCTAGTGTATATAGTTTTCTGGGAAATCTCGTTGGGAGCCCCTCGCATCAGGGACAAGAGATTGGGCAGTCAGATGGCTACCTCATCACCACCTGAAGCCCCTACCTTCCCCTGACCTCTGAGTGCTTCCTAACAAAGGGGGCAGGCCATCTCTCCTGGCACTTCTGAGATAAAGCTGTTTGTGGAAATGCTTGGGAAAAGTCAGTGTGGAAGAAGTATTTTGATTCCTTGTTATGATAAGTCAGAACTCTGAGAGACCTTTGTTCACTATCATGATGAGTATCTTTCTCCTCAACATGTGGCTTATTTACTCAGCATCTTTTCAAAATCACACTTCGCCCAAAGAAATTCTAAACTTCCCTCCAATATCTCTTGGCTTGCTTTCTCTTTTTGAGGCACAAAGCCGGGTATCCTCCCCAAGAGGGCCCCTTTGCCGTGCCAGGAGAGGCTCGGGCCTGGAGTAGGCTATTCAGCAGGCCGCCAGCTCTTTCGGGCTTGCTGAGAATTTTTTTTGCCTCTTCCAGCACATACTCATACCTTGTAAGTAGGAACTCAGCAGAGGGAATGAGTGAAGAATTATACAAATTAAAAAATGACATGTAAAAAATATTTTCTATTTTGATAACTCTTAGATTTAATTAAGATAAGTGAGAATTCTGATATATGCATGGAATTCATAGGCAGTTCATAATGTGGTTTTAGTTTTTTGAAAATTGCTTGGTGGTCTTTGTCTTTTTAGGAAAATGCCTTCATTCTTAAATGGGATGGCGTTTGAAAGACCACGTGTATGGAATTATCCAAAAATCCAGAAGCTAGAAACAATGAGCAATAGTAGACTTTATGTTGAAAACTGACCAGCTGAGCTCCAGTAGGCTCTGGTCGAGAGAGAGAGAGAGAGAGAGAGAGAGAGAGAGAGAGAGAGAGAGAGAGAGAGACCTGAGCCCAGGAGCTGAGGCCCTGGGGGTGGGGGTGGGGGGATGCCTTTCCCATGCCCTCAGTCCCCATCACCCTGTTGTGATCACATGCGCAGGGCTGCTGGTGCACAGCCTTTCGTGCGAGAGATCTGATGGCTAGCCTGCTGGGCCTCCTACACCCTCCTGGTGCTCCCCGTGAGGAAGTGCTCCTGAGCTGTGGTTTAACATTTCCGGCTTGTGGCTGGTTTCTTGAGTGTACAACTCTCTCTATAGCTGCTGTACAGCAGGGAACCCTTCCGTGAACAGTCATAGATGTTTGCTGTCTTCATGGCATCTAGAGGGGGTTGGCAGTCTCTACTGACTTTGGGGAACCCTGGCTGTGATGTGGCCCTGGTGGCCCTGGCAGGGGCTTTGGAGCACTGATGATTTCAGATTTGATCAGTTTCCGCATGAGGGTTCAGCTCCAACATGGAGAGGGAGTCTGGATGTCCCCACCGAAGCCAGGGAGACTGGGACCCAGAGGCAGTGCAGGGTTCACTCTAGCACCTGGAAAGAGCCAGGCAGTTGGCTTTGTGGCTTTGAAGGCTGGTGCTGAGGTGGCTGACAGCGGCGGTTTTCTTTGTTTTTAAGAGGCCTGTTTTTGAGTGTGAGCCCCTGGCTTCTTGGGAGGAATGAATTTTTTTGAAGCCACACCCATTGACTGTCTCAGAGTGATTTCCTGATTTAAAAAAGGTCTGTTGCTGTATTTAGTGAGAAGTCACAGGTTTGAAAAGGAAGCCATTTGTGGCTTTGTTTATGAAACCCCTGGAACATTGTTAGAGTCTATGATTTTTCTCTGAGATATGTATGTGTCAGCACACCTGTGTAGGAAGGGCCACCTGGGGGGTCAGGTGGTTGAATGCTGAGCCTGGGTCTGGTGCACAGGCTAACCCAGGTAGTGGCATCCTTCCTTTGGTGACACCAGGTTTGGGGGTGGGAGTGGGGGGCGCTCACAGCAGCTGAGGGAGGTGGCTGGGCTGCAGGGTCACTTTAGTTCTTAGCTTCAGTGGTCCCTCTGCTTCCAGGCCCCTGCACCCCTGCCCGCCTATGGTCTGTTGTGTGATGGGAGAGGAAAGTCCAGGTTAGGTGTTCTCTGAACCGAGAAGTTCTGAGGCAGCCATGCCACAAGCAACATGGACGTATCCCGATCAGTGTCATGCCAAATAGAAGGAAAGGGGAGGTATCTTGAGGGTGATAGGCAGTCCCCTGCCTCCATGCAGGTGTAGACACCCTGGTACCTCCAGCAGAGTGCAGTCCTCTTATGAGACAGACCCTGGCAGCCTGGAAACTGTGCTCTCTTTCCCGAGGTTGGACAGGGACAGAGGTGCTTGCAAAGCTCTCTGAGTTCACCTGGAAAGGCTGACTTGTTCTCTGGCTCACAGCTCTTCTGCAGGTGGGCAGGCGTGAAAATGCAGGTTGTCAAATAGCCCTTTGTTGACCAAAGAGCCTTAACTCATCCATCTTGTCTCCTGTGGCTGTGTCCCATCTGTGTGTGGGCAGCCAGGTTTCTTTCCAGGGTGAACCCAGGCATCAGCTGCCCTCTTCCTGAGAAATCTCGCATGAGCACATTCTTAACAGACATTTGAACACCAGCCCAAAGACCCCGCTTCCTGCCACATGCTCTTTCGGCACACTCAAAATGTAAATTGCTTCTGGAAATGTCTGTGCTGAAA